AAGCTTTGTGAAACGGAGAACTGTTAGGCTGATAGCCAAACCAGAGTCAGCAACATAGCCAGACTCTGTTGTATGAAGAAGGATGTGCTTACCAGCTACCTCTCGAAACAACACAGAATGTTTTCCCCTCTAACTTTCATGATATAAAATAATTTTGCAGAAGTAGTTACCCTCATCTGCCACTCTGCACTGTCAGTCCTGACAGTGCCAGCCTGCCAAGTTGGGCAAACACTTCCCTAGGACCTTGGCAATTATAGCTCCTTCTACCTGGATTGCATGCTGTCTAACATGGTAACCCTTGCCACGTGTCACCATTTCTATTTGATTTAAATCAGTTACAATTAAATACAGTTTAAAGTTCAGTTCCTCCACTGCACCTGTAATATTTCAAGTGCATACCAAATAGCCATACACAACTAGTGTTGCCTTATTGGCCTGCATAATTTTAGAACATTTCCATCATTGTAGGAAGTTTTGTTGGACAGAGCTATTCTAAAGCTAAGACCTTAAAAGATCTTGCAGTTTTCATTCTGCCCTCTGGGGACACCAGTCATTATGTTGAAGAAGCCTGGTCCAGCCTATTGGGCAATTAGAGATCACACAGAGGGAAACCATCGTGTTCCAGCCAATAGCCAGCAGTAATTCCAGATATGTGAGTGAGGCCGTTTTGGGCTTCCAATCCCATTCAACCACAGATGATTACAGCCTCACGAGCAATCCTCTGTGACAGCAGCAGAAGAGCTGATCAGGTTAGCAATCCATAGAATCATGACAAGTAAGTTGTCATTGTTTTAAGTCAGTCCGTTTAGATGAATTTGATATGATAGTAATAACAGGTGCTACTTTCAGTCTAATGACTGCATTAGCTTTGGAACTATTACCCTATGCATTTACCTCATGAATTAGGATGTGGAAAAAATAAGCAAGATGAAGTGAGCTTATATCACTTCTTTCAGTGAGATAAGTTCTTTGGTTAGAGAGATAAAAGGATATTTGCTATTAATAAAACAATGACCAACGGCAAAGTAAAATACTAGTTAATCGCTGAGTTACTAGATTATCTAGCTACTTACAAAATGATAAGAGAAAATTAACTTTGCATCCAAAATTATTTACCAGTAATTTTCAAAGTAGATTGTTCAAATAATCCAGAGCTAACTGGAATCTAATAATTATTCCGTATTAGGATAGTCAGAGTTGGGGGACTCTGGTGTATTTTGCTTTGTCAGAATTTAAAATTTAATTCTGAAATCATGCCTTCTTTTATTCATTGTTCCCCAAGCATTTATTGGGGAAACAAATGGAGATATATATAGGATATATGTGAAGTGAAAGTCACTCAGTCGTCTCCAACTCTTTTCGACCCCATGGTCTATACAGGCCATGAAATTCTCCAGGCCAGAATATTGGAGTGGGTAGCCTTTCTTTTTTCCAGGGGATCTTCCCAACCCAGGGATTGAACCCAGGTCTCCTGCATTGCAGGTGGATTCTTTACCAGCTGAGCCACAATGGAATCCCAATAATGTATTAAGCAAGTATGTTATTTACCCCATTGAATTTTAATAAAGTATTATATATATAAAACATAGGGTATATATATATATATATATAGGCTTCCCTGATAGCTCAGCTGGTAAAGAATCCATCTGCAATGCAGGAGACCCCGGTTGGATTTCTGGGTTGGGAAGATCCCCTGGAGAAGGGACAGGCTGCAATACGGGAGACCAGGGTTTGATCCCTGGGTTGAGAAGATCCCCTGAAGGGAGGGCATGACAACCCACTCTAGTATTCTTGCCTGGAGAATCCCCACAGACAGAGTAGCCTGGCAGGCTGTGGGGTTGCAAAGAGTCAGACATGACTGAGCGACTAAGCATGCACACTCACACACACGCACACACACACATTCTGTATATGTCTAGACAGGTACTGAGAATTTGAATAATTAAAAGGTGAGTCCTACCTGGAAAAACTAGTAGTATAATGGAGGGGAGAGATGCATGGTTACAATATATGAGGTTGAGCTGTCCCTGGAAATGCTGAGGTGGGAACATACTTAATATACAGGATGAGCAATTACCTTGCAGATGGGTGTGAATGGAGGTTCATAAATAAAGAGATTACCTAGGGGGCTTTTTTTGGGGGAAAGAACAGATTATTTTAATAACTTTATTGAGACATTATTCACATAGCATTAAAATTCACTCTATTAAAGTGAACAATTTAGTTGTTGTTCAGTTGCTAAGTTGTTTCTGACCCTTTGCAACCCCATGGACTTCAGCATGCTAGGCTTCCTTATCCTTCACTATCTCCCAGAGTTTGCTCAAACTCATGTCCATTGAGTTGGTGATGTCATACAGCCATCTCATTCTCTGTCATTCCCTTCTCCTCCTGCCCTTAATCTTCCCCAGCATTAGGGTCTTTTCTAATGAGTTGTCAGTCCTTCCAATGAATATTCAGAGTTGATTTCCTTTAGGATGGACTGGTTTGATCTCCTTGTTGTCCAAGGGATTCTCAAGAGTCTTCTCCAGCACCACAGTTGGAAAGCATCAGTTCTTTGGCGCTCAGCCTTCTTTTTGGTCCAACTCTCGCATCTGTATATGACTACTGGAAAGACCTTACCTTTGAATATGCAGACCATTGTCAGCAAAGTGATGTCTAAGCTTTTTAATACCCTGTCTGGGTTTGTCATAATTTTTCTTCCAAGGAACAAGCATCTTTTAGTTTCATGGCTGTAGTCACCATTTGCAATGATTTTGGAGCCCAAGAAAGTAGAATCTGCCACTGTTTCTATTTCATCTCCATCTATTTGCCATGAAGTGATGGGACCAGATGGTCAGTGGCTGTTAATATATTCAGAGTTGTACAGTCATCATCACTATCTAGTTTTAGAACATTTTTGTTACCCCCTGCCCCAAGAAACCTGATACCCATGAGCAGTTAACTCACCCATTCTTCCCTCAAGCTTGAAGTCCTAAGCTGCCACCAATCTACTCTCTCTATATATATACTTACCTATTTGGGCATTTCATAGTCATGGGCTTTTGTGTCTGTCTATTTTCACTTCATGTTATGTTTTCAAGACTTATCCATGTGGTAACATGTATCACTATTTCATTGATTTCTGTTGCCTAATGAGATGTTATTATATGGATATACAACATTTTGTTTATATATTCACCAGTTGATGGATGTTTTGGTTGTGCCCACATTTTGGCTATTATGAATAACATTGCTATGAATGTTCATGTGTGAGTTTTTATGGGGATGTATACTTTCAGTTCTCTTAGGTATATACCTAGGAGTGGTATTACTGGATCGTATGTTAAATATGTTTAACATTTTTAGGGATTTCCAAATTGTTTTTCAAAGTCGATGCACTATTTTAAACATTCCAGCATCAGTTTATGAAGGTTCCAACTTCTTCACATCCTTACTAATACTTGTTATTGCCTGAGAACAGGATTGTTTTGAATGAAAATATAAAGTCATTAAAATAGAAGAAATTCCAATTAGATAGTGTTATGCTCATTTAAGATAGTTCATATATGTCATGTGATATTAAAACCTAAAGCTGAATGCCACTTTGTAGCTCTGTGTACAAAACAACTCTGTTGGAGTCTAATTATCTTATCATTAATGTGCACCAGGTGGTTAGGAAATGCTGGTTTTCTTTTATGTCTAATTGAGAGGTAAAGGGCGGTAGAATGATTATATGTATAGTGCTGTTGAAAGTTAAACCCATTTCTGACATGCAATTAAATATAATTGGAATAGAACAAATTGAATAACAAAATTAAATTTGCGAAATAGAGTATGAAAAGATATTGAATGTATGCTGTTCCCTGGGATATTTGAGTGGTGAGTTGGCATTAGAGCTTGAACCCCGTATTTTTATGTACTCGGCATGGTTCCCACCTGCCCACCCTTGCGTCCTCTACTTCCCTTCCTTGGCACATCCGAGGAGTTCAGGAGACAGTCCCTGCCAACACCCTGTGCCTGGGAAATCCCATGGACAAGAGGAGCCTGGCAGGCTACAGTCCATGGGGTTGCAAAAGAGTTGGATGGGACTTAGCTACTAAACAACAACAACAAATTGTGGGTTGATATTTTTGTTGTTGTGTACTTTTATTCCTTTAATTTGAAATTTTTATCAAAATATAATTGTATACAATTTATAAGTCAAATAATATTTACAATGCTTATCACAAAACCCAACACTGTCAACTCCATTTCTCTCTACTCCTTGCCTGCTCTTCTCACACCTCCCCACCTCTGATGGTCTCTTTCAACTTCGTTACCAGTGTTTTTCTGGTGCTCAGGTTCAGGTTTTTTTACATAAGATTATTCTGACATTTCTGCTGCTGCTGCTAAGCCATTTCAGTTGTGTCCGACTCTGCGCAACCCCATAGACAGCAGCCCATCAGGCTCCTTTGTCTCTGGGATTCCCCAGGCAAAAACACTGGAGTGGGTTGTCATTTCCTTCTCCTTCTAGATATTTAGAATTTTTGGTTTTTATTTACTGTGGATGATGAGGATATGGCCTCCAAATACTGTATTTGGAGGCCATATTTCCAGTATGGCCTCCAAATCAAATGCTGTTAAAAATACTTAGGTTTAGAAGGACTTGGTTGATTATAACATACAATTTAGAGGGTAATATTTTAGAAAATACAAAGTTGAGTTTTCATAATGCATTGCCAAGGAACTGTATTAAAAACAAAATATTAGAGCCAGTAGGTGTTTATGTACATAATTTAACAGGATAACAATAATTTTGATCTAGCTACAGTATTGAAATAGCACATGAGAAAGTCTTCTTTTACTTTTATCTTGCAGTAGACACTGGATGAGTTTTGTTGTTTTTAAACCCTAGTCAATTAGTCTTACTCACCAAACATTTATAGGAGTCAAGTGTGAACAGATGTGGTCTAATTGAAGATGTTCCATGACTTGGTGAACACATTGGGTTACAAATTCAACTTTTCCTTCTCTTTGCAAAGGCACTGAGACGTGAGTTGAAGGAGAAAGAGTATTCTGTCCTGAACGCTATAGACCAAGCTCGCGTTTTCCTGGCTGATCAGCCAATTGAGGCCCCTGAAGAACCAAGAAGAAACCTACAATCAAAAACAGGTGAGCCTGGTTTCTTTAGTATGTCATAAAAATACATATGAGAAGAACAAAACACCAAAATCAACTAGAGAATTTTTTTGCAGCATTTTAGGACTTGGTATCTTTAAATTCCTTACAGAATCTCAGGGCCTAGTATTCAAATTTTTCTTCTAAGTATTACTTGAGTCAAATATGTCATTAATAAATATCTAGATTCTTAAATTAAAAAATGAAATGACTGTATATTCAGTATCATTATTTTAAAAGGGAATTAACTGCAGAGAAATTAATTTATTAGAAAACATACTGTAACTACAAATAATTTCTTTAAGAAATAAATATTTACATTTCTTACATTTAAGCTACATGATAAATAATTATATATAGAAGAATGGTATTTAGAATATAAGAGTAAACATATAAATTATTTAAATATCTATAAAGTAATGTTTTTTAACTTCTCTTTTTCAAGATTACAAATTTAAATAAGACACTGAAGTGCCTTTTTTTTATAAGCAGACCACAGAATTTATTTAATTTAGATGCCAACAACTTACATTGTTTATGTACTTTGGCTTAAAACCGAAATGGTATCTACCTTACTAGCAACCAGTAATAAATTACATAGTAGATTTAAGAGATGAACTTGGGGGCCAACATATATCTTTATTTTGATTTTTCACTTTTGGCATAAAAGCATGCTGATGCATTTTAAAAAATAAACATGCCATTCAGAATATTTTCTCATCATTCACTTTCCATAGTAAAAGCAGACCTGAAAGATTTCTCATGCTGTGTCCAGAAGTGTAATTCATGAGCATTTATTACTTGTAAGGGATGTAGTGTTGGAAAATGCTTTGACTGTACTTGGAACCGGATCAGACATTTGGAAAGTAGCCATTTTCCTTCTCAGCCTTGGTCAGAGCTCTACTTCAATGTGAATACATTTCCCATCAGGATCATACCACTCTTCTTGACCCTTTGGGGGGATGTGTGTGTGTATGTGTGTGTGTGTATACATACAGAGACACACACAGCACGCTTATCATCTCTCGCAGCTTTGCTTTACTACTCTCGCCTGGCAGTATCACTGTTTTTCCAGTCAGCCTACCGGGGGACCTAAATCATTGTTGAGTCTCCACCTCTCGCCGTCTGCAAATTGTTGATGATGGTTATTTCTGTCTTTGGAGAACTATGCCTTCTGGGTACTCTGTTATAGATGTAATTATGTGTGTGTTATATACACACACGGACATAATGTATGCACACACACCACGCACACAGCTACGTGGTAGGTGGTTGAATGGCTTGGACGCTGAGCACGCTTGGGTATGGATTGGACACTGAGCACGCCCGGGTGTGGATTGGACACTGAGCACGCCCGGGTGTGGATTGGACACTGACACGCCCGGGTGTGGATTGGATACTGACACGCCCGGGTGTGGATTGGACACTGAGCACGCCCGGGTGTGGATTGGACACTGACACGCCCGGGTGTGGATTGGACACTGACACGCCCGGGTGCGGATTGGACACTGAGCGCGCACGGGTGTGGATTGGATACTGAGCACGCTCGGGTGTGGATTGAGTGATTGGTCAGGATAGAACCATTGGAAGCCGCAGCCCAGCGTGAGGAGCAGAGCAGCTGTGTCAGGGGAAGTCAGCGGAGCTCAGGGAGGGGCAGGGGGTGGTGGAGAGGGTGCGCAGGGACTGCGCCTGAGCAGGAGGTACGCGTGAGGAGATCGCGCCTGCTGAATGGTGCAGCCTACGGAGGCCCCGGGAAGGTGGATAGCACATTTCACCTTAAATACAGCAAGAAGAAGGCGCTGTTTCGCCTGTTTTTTTAAGCTTGGAAGAAAAATAAGAAGTTCACTTGTCTTACTTTATCCAGTTTAAAGTCTACCTTAAATCTGCCTGCCTCCTCTCCTTGTTTCCCCAATACTTTTCAGAGAATAAAGATTTTTATAATCAATTACTTCATAGCAGTAGAAAAGTGCTACATCACTTGAGTTTCACTTTGCTATCAATTTTCTTTCTCAGTGGTTAGTCAATTTAAAGGGTAAAAACATACTGCTTTTTGAGCCCTTATATTGGGAATTTTTAAGGTCCATTTTCATATACTGTATTTGGGAGGCAAGGAAAAAAAGTCATGTCNCCGGGAGAGAGTCTGTCTGTTTACTTGTTTGTTTTTAAGTGCTGGTCCCCAAGGACCAAGTATTAAAAGATTCTGGCTTAGTTGGTCAAGGGTGAAGGGAGGCATGGGTATATTTTAAAAAGTTCCCCAAGTAACAGCAAGTGTTGCCAGGATGGAGCCGCGTCAGTCTATTGGATTATAAATTGATTTCTCTGGTCACTGCTGCTGAAGTTGGACAGAGTGTTTCCACCCCATTGAGCTGCTGTGTCATTCCCACGCAGAGCAGGGTGCCAACTACATAAGGTGGGAAAGCAAATGAAGCTTGGTGATAAGAGGGGAATCTAATTTGCATTTGAAAAGGCAGTAATAGAGGCTAAGAGACAGAGGAAACAGTAGGATAAAACCAAGTAAATTTAGTGACAATTCACAGACCAAAAGCACTTTTCCTAGGTCACTTTCCTACTCCCTTGTATGTGTGTGTCTGTATGTTTTTGGGAGGGCGTACTCTGCTTCACTCTCCATTCTCCTGTTCTTCTCCCTTCAAGCCTTGCTATTTATCTCTGAGGATGGGACTGTATTCATTTTTATATTTATAATTGTATTATAGGCTCAGAAGGAAAGAATCTGCCTGCGATGCAGGGGAACCAGGTTTAATTCCTGGGTTGGGAAGATCCCCTGGAGAAGGAAATGGCAACTTACTCCAGTATTCTTGCCTGGAGAATTCTTTGGTCAGAAGACCCTGGCAGACTACAGTTCTCCGGGTTGCAAAGAATCGGACTCAAGTGAGCAACTAACACTTTCACTTCACTTTTCTTTTTAGTAGCATCTCATGCCTCTCTCTGCTCCAAACTAATATCATTTAACACCAACTTCTCCTGATGGTCTGCAGGTAATGATCTTCATTGCCCATTCTATTTTTTTTCTGCCTGTTGGTCTCTTCTACCTGATCTCCAACTCCTTCTTCCTTTGCCTACCCAGCCCTTGCTCATTCTGTCCCACTCACTGAGGCTGTGTGTAACCCTGAATCCATTCCTCCCCATCTCTTCTCCTTGTTACCTGGCACCTGGTCGCCTCTCTGACTATATACTAATATCTGTTTCTGAAGCTCAGCCCTGCCCTTTATTAGTGACCTCTCCCATTTACTGAGAATCTGAGAGCATGAGAAATTATCTGAGCAGTCAAGAGAGTATTATGTTGAAAATATAGTGAAGATTGTAGAAAAGCTACTCTCTCAGAGGTATTAACTCTTACTTTAGACACTGTTGTAACTAGTTTCACTTGTTTTCCAGTGAATTATGGTTATGTAGCAAGATGGAAATGATATGGCAGGGGAAAGGGTGGCAGTGAGAAATGATGTCTGGCAGTCTGACAGCTATGAGGAAAAAGAAAATTATAAAAAGGATACATGAGAATTCTAAAATAAAACAAACCAGAGTAGTCTTTGGGGATTTTTACAATAAAAGAAAAGCTGAAGCAATGAGCTGTGGTTTGTTTATTTTTGAAGATAGACTATAAATCAGTTAAGAGAAGGCATAGTAGTTTATACTATATTTTAGTAAATTTCCTTCCAAAATGGCAACCATACAAAAATAGGGCTAAATGAATGAAATATAGCCATCTGGACCACTCAGCTTCCTAGAATTACTCATTCTGCCTATGAAAGGTTATTAAGTCAATATAATTTTTACTTGATCTAAAATTATCTGAGTAATTATAGAAATTTAACAAAGTTCACAGCTTTGTCAATAGTTTCCTTCTCTTGAGTGATAGGGAGCTACTTAATTTGACTTGAATTGTATCATGTCAGTGTATAATATTTCCTTTTAGTGAGGTTGAATTGAAAAGACCCTGATGCTGGGAAAGATTGAGGGCAGGAGGAGAAGGGGACGACAGAGGATGAGGTAGTTGTATGGCCTCACCCAACTCAATGGACATGAGTTTGGGTAAACTCCAGGAGTTGGTGATGGACAGGGAGGCCTGGCATGCTGCAGTCCATGGGGTTGCAAAGAGTCAGACACGACTGAGCGACTGAACTGAATTGTTTTTCATTTGATTTTAACCACCTGGTTTATATCTGTTAGAAAGTAGAACAATGAGACAGCAAAAATTTCATCATCATTCATACTGGTCTTCCTGTATGTACTCTTCAAACCACTTCTGTAGTTGGCCTAATGAATTGAGCAGATGGTATAGATGCCTCTAAAAAAAATTAGGTTAAAGCACAAAGGCCAAGAAAATACTGTGGTGCTGACCAAGGTCATCAGCTATTATGGAGTAGATCAAGGACAGAACCAACCTTGTGTGTTGGTAACCTTCCTTAACTTGGGGTATGGGGGCTTGTTTTCAACTCATCCCTTCATTCTCCTCTCCTTTCTCTTTCCCTCTGCTCATTGGCCACTGACCTCCTAGCTCTTTCTTGACTCTCAGTGTCTAGAGCCTCTTAACCCTGCGCAAATGTTTCTTGGCTTCTTTCTTGTTCACCCAACCTCCTTTGCGGTTCTCAGTCCTAGATTTAAGTAGACGGGAAGGACAGCTGTGGGGCTTTAGCCCACTCTTGCCCCTACACCTCTTGAGGTAGTCAGGGAATATACATAACTTCTCACCTATCCGTTATCTAGAGTTCAGGTTAAAAGTCAAAATTGCACAGGGAATTAGAGCCTTATGTCTGCGTTCCCCTCTCTAACCCCAACACAGATGCAGGCACATGTGTATGCAGATGCAGGCATGCACGCACACCCCCACCCACACACACATACGTATTTTATGAGTTGAAGCTATGGTAGCAATTATTAAACAAAACAGTTAACACTTTAACAGTGTAGTTCACCTCTGAAAGTGTTTAGAAAATTATACAAATGATTGTCAATGTGGGTGTGGAAAAGCTATT